GGGGGTGCCCGCTGGTAGCCCTGGTGTCTCCTCTCCCCCAGCTCTGTACTGGTTTAACTACGAGCTGGTGAGGTCGTGGCTCTGCAGGCAGCCCTGGCTGGACGGGTCCACATTCACGGTCAGCTTCGCATCCGGGGCCATCTCTGGCACGGTGAGTTTGGGATGCTGGGGCTCCCCTGGGGGGTTGGTGCCTGTGGGAGGGAGGAATGGGGCTGGGAGGTGACAGCAGAGCTGGCACTGGGCAGGAACGCCAGGTCCTGGCTCACCATGCAGTGCCAACCCCACAGGTGGCCGCGGTGCTGACGCTGCCCTTCGACGTGGTCAAAACGCATCGGCAGATCCAGCTGGGAGACAGTGAGGTGCACCCAGGTGAGGGGCTGGCTCCGGGGGGGCACCCAGCACTGCCCAGGGTGCCCCCCAAGCCTCACCTGCTCCCCTCTCCCCACAGTCACAGCCTGCAGGCCTTCCAAGCCTTCCTCCACCTGGCTGCTCATGCAGCGGATCCGCGCCGAGTCTGGCACCCGGGGGCTGTTTGCAGGTGAGGGTGTGCCCTGGTTCCATGCTGGGGTTCTGGGTGCCCTGGTGTCACCCCAGGGCTCACAGCTCTGTCCTTGCAGGGTTCCTGCCCCGCGTCATCAAGGTAGCACCTGCCTGCGCCATCATGATCAGCACCTATGAGTTTGGCAAGAGCTTCTTCCAGAAGCTGAACCAGGAGCAGCAGCTGCGGGGATTGTGAGCAGGCCTGGGGCAGGGCTGGCTGTGGCCGTGCCCAGGGGACAGTGCCAGCCCTGCTCCAGCCAGGTGTCCCAGGAGCAGGGATCTGCACTCGGCCGTGCAGAGCCCAAGTGCCTTCGTTCCTGCTCTGCCTCCCGCTGCCCGCACACGGAGCCAGGGCCAGCCTGCCCCACTCCCTGTCCCAGCCACTCTGGGGACATCTGTGCCTGCTGCTGTGACACTGGGGGGATATGGAGCCCCCCACGCCCATCCCTTGGGGCTGGACAGATGCTGCTGTTGGATTCATGGACACTCTGGCAAGGATGGGATGTCCCAGGAGACTTGGCCTGGCAGGAGATGGAGCTGGGGCCGTGGCAAGGACCAAACCCCAGAGCTTGGGGGCTTCTCTGCCTGCCTGGGGCCCCCAGCCCTGCTCTGCCTGGGGATCTGCCCCTCCTGACCATCACTCACACACAGCCTCGCCTTGCTGGCTCTGCATGGCATGGGGACACGTCAGGACCCCCTCCCTGCCTCTGGACCTCTCCCACTCGGGATGTCCCCATCCCCTGTCAGACCACCCTGTGTGGGGACAGACCTCACTGCTGCTCCAGGGGGCCATTGTGGCCCCCCTGCCCCATCTTTCCACTGCAAGGGCCTGCCCAGCTCTGGGCACTGCCCCCTTACCCCGGGACTCATGGAGGGGACTTCTCCTCATTTCTTAAATAAAATAGTTGTCTCTTAGTGGAAGGATTTCTCTCTGTGTGCTGGGGGGCTGTAGAGACACCTTGTGGCAGGGGGGCACAAGGGCTCTGTTCCCAGCTGGGGGGGTGGGTGACAGGCCAGCTCTTCTTGCTGCGTTTATTGATTCCTTTTGCTCCAACAAGGCAGATGGGGCAGAAATAAAAATCAAAATCACCCAAAACAACCCAAAACCCAGGGGAGGACGGGGAGGAAGGGGGAAGAAGAGGTCCCCCTTCTTCATCTTCTTCATCCCCCTTGCAGGATGCTGCTGCAAGGGGGGCAGGCAGCCCCCAGAGTGCAGGGAAGCTGGGGAAGGCCAGGTGGGCACCAGGGGCTGAGCAGGACGGACAGAGGGGCCACGCTGGACCCCCACCCTGGAAGGGGCCTGNGATCACCTTAAGCCGTGTTTATTTTCCCCGTTGTTGTCACCGTGCCATAGCCAGCCCCACTGACACGCCAGGCAGAGCAGGGCTCTGGGTTTGGGGGTATATTTTAGGGCTCTGGATTTATTGGCATATTATAGGGCTCTAGGTTTAGGGGTATATTTTAGGGCTCTGGATTTAAGGGCATATTATAGGGCTCTGGGTTTAGGGGCATATTATAGGGCTCTGGGTTTGGGGGCATATAATAGGGCTCTGGGTTTAATGGCATATTTTAGGGCTCTGGGTTTAAGGGTGTATTTTACCCTGCACGGAAAAGGGAGCAGCTCCCAGCTGAGAGGGGAGCTTGGACACAAACAGGAAGCCCTGGAGGTGCCCCAATGCCCAGCAGCAGCAGCGGGGCTGTGCTGGGGCACGTCACAAGGAGAGAGTTTATCAGGTGGGGCAGAGCTGGGAGCAAGAGATTTCCCCTGGCTTGCGTCAGGCTGAGCAGCAGGGCTGGGTCACAGGATCCGGAGGCAGCGCCCTGCCCGTGGCACGGTTCTGCAGTGGCTGTGGGGTCAGTGGGGCACGTGCCACGCTGCCATGGCGTGATGGGTGCCCAGAGAGTGCCCACATCCTGGGGCACTGCAGGGTGTGGGCTCGGACAGGCCCAGCTCCCCGTGGGGCTGGCACATGGGCAGGGCTGGGATGGATCCAGCTCTCCCAGTGGGGCTGGTGCCTGTGCCAGGGCAGACCCAGCTCCCAAGGGGGCTGGCACGTGTGGCTTCAGCACAGACCTGTCCCAACTTGCAGCCTTGGTCACCCAACAATTCCTGAGCCCATAAAGGGGAGATTTATGACTTCTCTGACCTTGCGAATTGATGAGTCAGATGGTGAAGTTTTTTTGCTGCGTTCCCAGGCTTTAAAGAACCCTGGGTTCCCAGAGCCTGGAAGCTCTCCTGCTATGGCCCTATCCCAGCATGATAATGATCCCCAGGCTGCAGCGAGGGGGAGCAGCTGGTGCTGAATGTGCCGAGGGTCATTTCTCCACATCCTTCTCGCTGGGAAGGGTGTGATATCCCCTGCTTCCCGAGGGCAGCACACCAGCCCTGGAGGCTGCAGCCTTGCCAAGCCCAGCGGGATCAGGCAGGAGGTTTCAGATGCCTAAACCCTTCCTGGGATTCTTGTTGCAAACTCACGAGGGGGATCTCCCCCTCCCTGGTGTCTTGCCATGGCTGCACTGGGCTCTGCTGCCATCGCAGCCAGAGCTGGGGAGGGCTGTCACCGTCACAGCATGGCTGCTCTTTGGACTTTGTTCCTTCCTTTCCTTAATTTTCCGAGCGCAGGGAGGGGACAGTCCTCCTTCCCCAAGGACATGGAAGGCTGGACTGTCTCCACCTCTGCAGCCAGGCTGGGCCTGCTGCCAGCGTGGGGCCAGGGGGTGTTATCAGGGCTGGGCTGGCCCTGGGAGCCAG